TGCAACGAATTGGGTTTTTGTTTTTAATTTTTTAATTATGAATTTTTTAAATGTATATTTAATAAACTCATTTCCGTTCTGGCTTGTATTTTATATTTTTAATTTATTTATTTATTTCTTATTTTTCTTTATATTTTGCTGTGCCTTTCAACTCATTTGGTTTTGTTTCTTTTTTTAGTTTCTAATTTTTTTTTTTTTTTTTTTAGATTTAAGTTTTTATGCCGTGGGCGCTAAATGTACAGTTGCCTTGTAAAAATTTACAATTCAAGCGCTTGCTTTTAAAATATTTTGTATTTTATTTATTAGTTAATGTTACAATTACTAATTTAGTTTCTGTTAGCTGAAAGTCGCAATCACCTTAACAAATAGCCGCATATATATATTCTTATATATATATGTATATATATTATTTTTACTTTAATTAACCTTGTTTTCTTATTAATTTAGAGTTATTTTCTGTTTTAATTTTATTTAGTTAATTTATTTATTTATTTATTTTTTTTGTGTTATGGGCAGGTTTACTTAGATATAATACAATTTTTGTTATTATGGGATTGCAATTTGATTACTTAGGTATACATCTTTGCAGATTTTGCTTCTTCTGTTTAAACTTGAATGTGTGTGTGTGTCTGTGTGTATGCGTACAGTTGACAAACATTGGAACAATTTTATGCATACAAAACTTTTTACTGTTTATATACATAAGCGGCATACATTTTTCATGAATTTTGTTTAACAAAATTTTAAGCCTGTTGCTTTGTGTGTATATGTATGTGTAGATATTTATGTATGTATATGTATATTTGTTATATATGTATGTAGATTAGAAAGAGAAGTTTCGTTAGGCGTTTATTTGCTTTTATTTTATTTAGTTTTTTTATGTAGATGAAATCGTAAAACGTTTTTACTTCTTTTATGTTTGTTGGAAAATGTTTTTGATGTAATTTTGTTTGTTTGTTTATTTGTTAGGTTTGTATTAAATTTGGTTTGCAATTTGTTTTAACTCTTTACATTAAATTACTTAGCTAAATAGCCATACAAAATGTCGTGTCGGTTACATATACACTAATATTTTGTATATATATATATATATATATATATTTTTTTTTTTTTTTTTTTTTTTTTTTTAGTTTAATGAACACTTTCTTGGGTTCAATTCAATATTAGTTTAAAAAGTTGTATTTTTTCTTTTTATATTTTTATAGTTTAGAGTTAAAGTTAAATGTTTAAATTTAAGTTTTGCGTTGGTTTTGTTTTGGTTTTTAAAAAGTTGCTCGAAATGAATTTATGTATATATATATATATGTATATATATTTAAGAAGCGCTGTGCCCTGTTGACTTGTGATTTTATATATATATAGAACTATATTGTATTGCTAAAAATCATAGTTCATAGTTCATAGTTGTTGCTGTTGTGATTAGCGTTTAGTTAGTATTTTCTTAGTTGAAGACGCCTGGATTTTCAATATATTTGCTGCCAGCTTAAACCGAACAGCCAAAAATAAATAAATAAAAAAAAACTTTATATATGTATAAACATTTGCCAGATATTCTATAGGCTAGCTATCGTGTGTCTGTATGTGTGTATATATATTTCACTTTTTATGTAGGGGCACTTGATTGAATCAACTCTGCAGCTCTCTCCTTTCATACTTTCTCTCTCGCTCTCTTCGGCTTCCTTTTAAATTGTACAAAAGTTTTTTTCTTTTCTCATTTATTTTTGGCTGACCGTCGGGATTTGATTTGTTTAACAAATAATAATAAATGTCGCTGCTATTATATTTTTGATGTTTTCTTTTTTACCCGTATTTCTAACTGGTTTATAGAGTACTTCATACAAATTGATTATAGACCTATTTATGTTTGTCTGAGAGCAAGCCACACGTTTTTGTTTCGGATTTGCTTCTCTTTCTATATAAATATTTAATTTGTTAATTAACTATTTCTTGGGCATTTAAAGAGTTTTAGGTTCATTGCTGTTCATCTTTGTATTCCTACTGAAACCCTAAGGCATTTTTTGTTTCCTCTAAATTTATATTTTTAATATATATACTAATTTTATGCTACAATTTAAATGAAAAGAGGAAAATGGTATGCAAATCATAATTGATACATACTTGGTTTGTGGAACTCTAACTAGTTCAAAGAATTATTAATTTCATTTTCGGTTTTTCCATTGGAAAAAAGTGTTGCCAATTGGTTATAATAGTGGCACATACAAAACAAGTGCTGCCCATTTCTTTTGGTTGAATCGTGGCTTAGCACAGAATAAATGTTGCCAAATTGTGTGTAGTTTGGTTGTCAGTGTTGGAAAATGTTATCAAAACGTGTGACTTGCCATAGATATTTATCGTGTTTTTTGGAGTCTATAATTGTTGTAACTTATTAAATATTTCATATTTTTAGTATTTTTCATGTATTTTTGTTTGTATTTTGAAACTGAATGAATCGTAGGTGTTGCTTAATTTAAGTAGATTTTCTGCATACTACATCATGAAATATATGTAGTTGTTCCAAATTGTTTTTAACGTGACTTAGAACTAAATTAAAATTATCTTGTTATCATATACATATATACTATATGTATATGTATATACATATATGTTTAGCTTAGCTTAATTTTGGTATATTTTGTATTTATATCTTGTATATGAAGCGCTTAATGCGGGAGCTTTAAAATTGTGTGCCAGTTTTTATAGTTGTTATCGATAACAATCGTAATGTAAATAATCAAAAAAAGAAAGGCATAAAGAAAAATCGTTTTTCAAATATATATTTATATATAGTGAGGATTTATAGGATACACGATTTGTTGTTCGTTTGTTTTTCGTCAGGCTTTGTTCTTTTTCTGTACATAGAAAATTAACATAAATGAAACATACAATACTGTGTATGCACTTTGTTGTATATAAGTGTATATATGTATATATACATATGTATATATGTGTAATTGTTTTTTGTTGTAGTATATATATAGCAATAGTTGACGTTTGTTTCAAAATTGTTGTTCATAGTATGTTCAGTAGTTGTTGTTGTTTAATTTTGTTGTTTGTGGGTTATATTACGTCGGTCATTATAGCAGTAAATAGGTATCGTAGCTGTTCTTCATGTTTTCGTGTCTGTGTATAAAGCAACGTGGGTTCACTTAATCAGTTCAAAAGGTCGTATATGTATGTAGGTCATATACACAATGTATGCAGGTGTATATGGGTGTGTATGTGTGTGTGTATGTATGGGAGGAAATTGTGGTTCAATTAAACTAAAGCAATTTATTTACGATTTTTAATAAACATATTTTGTATACAATATACACTCATATATGTACATATATACTATGTAGATCGGGATTTACATATGTATATATATATACATATATATTTATAAATATAGTCGTTACACAAATAAGCCACAAACTGTACAAAACATCGTACATATGCATATGTACAATAAAAAACTTATAGACAAAGCCCCTACGATTTTTCAAATTTCAATTTTCGATAACAATTGTAATATTATCGATCGATAGAGCATTACGATTACGACGGTTTCAAAGTATGATTTTTATTTATTTTTTGCTAGGCTATTTAATTGTTTCTATATATATTTTTATATTTAATTATTAATGTATATCGATCATTATATTTATCGGTATCCATTTATTTTTAATTTTTTTTGTATATAACAAGAACGATTATTATTTATAAGTTTACTATACAAATGTCTCATGTTGTTTTTTTTATCATTATTTTTGTTATATATATATATATATATATATATATATATATATATACATATGTATATATATAAATATTTAAAGCTTTGATGGCGGCAAAAAATTGAAAACCCAAATAAAAATACATAAATACGTTCAGAAGAAGGAAATTATTATTTTTTTTTAAATATCTCACTTTTAGTTACAGACGAAAATTGAAGACCGCTTTAGTATTTTTAAGTGTTTTTTGTTTTGTTCACTTCGTTTTTGTTTATACACATTCATACATATTTGAAAACAACAAATTATTAATGAATAAAACAAAGAAAGTAAACAACTAACAAAAACCAATAAGTAATTAAGTGTATTTTTTTTTTTTTAGTTTTGTTCACCAAAAATGAGGCAAAATGTATTTTAATATAGTTCATGTAATCCATTGATCATTGATCAGAAATCACCTATCGTCAATCTTTATCATAATACATGATGATGTATAATTCATGCTTGGATTCAACTGACTCATGATTGATGATCATAATTCTTAAATCAATCATCCATCTAAGTTCATAAATCATGTTTATAATGAACTCATAATTAATAATTAATTATAAGCTATTTATGAATCATAAATAATGAATGAATCATCAAACATGAATCATGAATCATCAACCATAATTCATAATTCATAAAATACATAGTATAAGCAATTAGTACTGAACTTTTTAAGTTTTGGCAGTACGCATTTTGTTGTATTAATATTAATTGTAATTGTTTTTGTTTTGGTTTGTAATAGTTTAAAATTATGCAAATATACAATGTAGTTTTGTTTAAGTTCTCTACCGTAAATCGTACAGCATTTTCTTTTTTAATTTACTTTGTTATTAAAATATATTTATAACGCGCTACTTAATTGTTTAAAAAGTTTTTAATTTTGGTTTCATTCATTTCATTTGTTTCTATTATTTTATCTTTAACTAATATTAATAAACAAATTTTCAACATTTCTCGTTCAACAGTTTTTTTTTTATTTTTTTTTTTTTTTTTTTTTTTGTTTTGGTTTTTTCTCTTTATACTGATTGCAGCCAAAAGAACTCAAACTGATGCACCCCAAAAACAATTTTTTAAAGAACCTAAAGGACAGACAATAATCTAGCTACAAATGAATAACCTCAGACATATCCATACATATTAAATAAATACTAAATTTGCGTTTCAATTGTTTTTTTTTTTTTTTTTGTTCACTAAACAATAAACTTTTTTGTAGGTTATGTACAACATTTTCTGGACTTTTGTTTAATATTTTATTTTGTTTTTCCTAATAAAATGGAGGATAGAGTGCTACGTATGTGTGTGTATGTGTGACATCTTTGATAGTAGTAGTATTATTAATAGTACTGCGTTTTCGGTGTTGGTTTCATCTATCTTCGATCTGTCCGCATTATCCATAGATTCCATTAAAGTGGCTAAGTTCCGATTTTTATGTTTTTAGTGTTTATTTAACTGCTATCACTTTCGTTTGTTAATGTTAAGTTCTTGAATTTTTCCTTTTAAATTGTTCATTAATAAATATGTTTATAATAAAATACATTTGGACTAAACAAAATGTTCTTTCATACAATATTTTGTGAAAAGTTAAAGTTTCTGGTGTGGGGGAGAGATTTCTCTTGGATGTATTTAACAGATTTTCATTTAAAGATATATTTTTTTATGATGCTCTCAATTATTCTTCGTTTTGAGTATTTATTTATATTTTGTGTTCTTTAAGCTGTCTTTAGGAATTACTTTTTTATTTTAATCATAATTTCTCCTTTTCTTTTTCCTGCAATATATAGAAAACAAATGGCAAAAAATCGCATATGAGTCAAAGAGATTGGCGCAATGTGACACTAGGACATATTGAAGGTGAAAGTAAACTAAATGGGCAATCAATCAATCAATCAGTCAATCAATACATAACAAGAAAACTAACAAAGAAATACAAAATTTTTATTATAGACCAAAATAAAAAATTACTAAAAATGTATTTTATTTTTAATTTTTTTACTTTTGTTGCTGTTGTTGTTTCTGGTACAAATATTAAGCTACTGGTTGTTGTTGTTGGTTTTTGTTAATAATATTATTGTTGTAGTAGTTGTTGTTGTTGCTGTTTACGGCTGCACGCTGGGATTTGGACTTTTTTTATTTTAGGTGGAATCGAATCGATTTTTTTTTTTTTTTTTTTTGCTTTAGCATTAGCGACAACAATCGATTCAATCATTCAATCAATCAATCAAGCTGCAGGCTGTGGCATTTACCTATTTACTTATGCATTAATTATTTACTTATTGCGAATTTTATCAACTACGGCATACGAAATACAATTTTGTTAGTTTTTAGACGATGTTTTTTTTTATTTTTTTTTTTTCGATTTTTATGGTGGGGGAGGAAAATAAGAAAAGAATGAAATACAATTTGATTAGCTCTTCACATGATTAAGTAACTACACAAATTTCTTTTTGTTTGGCACTACGAATTTCGACGATTAAAGCTCTAAATCAAACTAAAAAAAAATATAAATATTGTAAAAGAAGCCAACAACATAGCGATAATTCCCAACAAGAAAAAAAAATGCAGTTTTGCTGATCTTCAATTAATACTGTTTAGCTATACATATATATATATATATATATATATATATATGTTAGTAGGTTAGGAAGATCTCTATATACATAAGCTATATAGCAGCTACACACACATTTATAGGCAAATCATATACATACAAATATACAAAGTGTGAACATTAAAAATGCATTTTATATTTCAATTGTTTTTTTTTTTTTTAATTTACATTGTTTTTTATTTGTTTGTGTATTTATTCAATCTATTTGAAATCAATCTGAGAAATTAAAAGCGAAAAAATAGCACAAAGTTGTTTTTTTTTATATATATATATAAATGTAATTTAATTATAATAATAATAGACGGCAAAAACAAATCATATAAAAATAATGCTAGACGTAGCGGTAAATATATATATTTATATATATTTATTTATTTAGTATATATATAAAATTATTCACAAACAAGAAAATTTACAAATGAAAATAGAAAACAAACTGAAAAGAATAGAAACAAAGAGTGCACAAAGAGAAAACAAATACTTTTCTGTGTGTGTGTGTGTGAGTGTGGAGTGTGTGTGTGTGGATTGTGTGTGTGTGTGTGTGTGTGTGTGTGTGTGTGTGTGTGTGTGTGGAGTGTGTGTGTGTGTGTGTGGAGTGTGTGTGTGTGTGTGTGTGTGTGTGTGTGTGTACAGACTAATTAGTTATAGATGCTTAACAAATGACAATCAAATAAAATAAAAAGAAATCAATAAAATTGCAATGAAGACTTTTTCGTTTTATGTTAACTAATTGTAGCCGTGTTTGATGTTGTTGTTGTCGTGTTATTGTTTATAAACAAAGAATTTATTGCCAAACATTTCTTTAAGCTTAGATAGTCATTTATAATAAGGCATAATAATAATATACATAAGTAACAATAGATAATATAGAATTGATCAACTTTCTGCATAATTTCACTTTCATTCAAGCCTAATTATTTAAATTAGAATTAAACAATAAGTACTTAAAAGCAAAGTTCATAACATGTTCTTTTCGTTTGTTTTGTTTTTTTCATCGTTTACTTTTACATTCAAAATCTTAAAATGATGCACTCGATATAAACCAAAAAAGAGGAAATTTATAATTTGTATTTATAAGAAGCGAGAAAAGGTAGAAAGCGAAATTTAACAAAAAGCGCAGCAAACAATACAAATTTTATAAGGCATACTTTTGTTTTATACATAATATATATATATATATATATATACATATATATACTTGTACAATTATATATATAGTATTTATATGGCTACTACGCTCAGTGTGTTATGCTCGTGTGTGTATGTGTGTGTGTGTGTGTATTTGTTGTGTTTGTGGGTTTGTCAGCTTTAAAGCACAAATTTTATCTATGTATATTGTTTTTTTTTTTTTTTCGTTTAGCACACAGTTTAAAATTATATTTGTGTTTTGTTTGTTTATTTAATGTTATTAACTAGGCAGCACATAAACAATAAATTTAATTATTGAATTTAAGTTTCGTGTTTTTTTTTTTGGCACGCAAATATCTGAGCTAAAACCATATGCAATATATATATATAAAAAGCAAAATATGCAAAAAAAATTAGTTGTTTTTTATTTTTAATAGTTTTAGCTGCATTTTGCGAGCCAACAAAATATAAATATATTTTTACGTTTATATATTTATAAATATAAATATAAATGTAAATATATATATATTTTTAATATTAATATAATTTTTTTTAAATTTTGTTAACTAAGAAAAATTTTGCTAAATTTCTTGTTGCTGCTGCTGCTGTGTCTGTGTGTAAGTACGTTGCTTATGTCTCTCTCTGTGTGTGTGTGTGTTTGTGTGTGTGTATATGTTGTGTCTGTGATTGTTGTTGTGTATGTTTGTTGCGCATTTGCGTATGCAGCTTCAAACGTCTTTAATTTGCAGTTTATTAACTAAAATGTAAATTTGCTGCTGCATTTCAAATTGTTACAAGATATTTGGTGTTGTTTGTTGTGGACTGCTTGTTGTTGTTGTTTGTTGATTTCATGTTGTTGTTGTTGGGTTTTTTCTTGGTGTTGTTGTTGTTGTTGGCAACTTACTGTTCTTGTGGATCAGTATCACTCTCTTCCAGCTCGCTCTTATTGCGTCTCTTCTCATAGATGAGAATGATCAAACAAAGTATCAAAACCTCAGCACAAATGCCAAGGAAAGGCCACAAGGCAGCAAATTTGCCTGAGAGTGAACGATAAAACGATTAGATAGATATATATCGAGAAGAGTGAATTCAGCATTATAATTTACCCTTAACACGAACGGTTACAACATCGGTGGCAACGGTGCTATTGGCATAATCATTGGCCTCATTGCGTCCATGGCATTTGTAATCGCCTCTATCATCCAATGTCACGTTCTCAATCATTAAAATTGCATTCTCAATTTTATTATCATCCGCTTTCAATATATAACGATCTGTGCTATTTGTGACATTTGTGTAATTGCCTGTGTAAGAAGAAGAAAAGAAATTGAAATTAGTATCTGATTTACTCGGGCTTAAAGAGAAATTCGCAGATCTTTGCTTGTTTAGCAGAATTTTCTATATTTTTAGCTTTCAGTATATTTTAAAATCGATTAATGGTCCATTAAAAATTATTCAACAACTCATATAATATCCTTTTATAGACACAAATTATGTATATATAGGAAAAAAAAAAAACATAATCATTGATCAATACAATCTGTGAATCATAGTAATAAAGTATTTTAGAGTTTTAAAAATCGGTTTAATTTCCATTAAAAACAAAACCATTATACCCTAATTTCCCATTTTCAATGGGTTCAGGGTATAAAAAATTATTTAACAACTTAATAAAGGATGCCGATTATATAATATATCGAAAAAATAATAAAAAATTTGCAAATCAAAGTGATGGAATTTTTTGGAGTTTACAGAAGATATGATTTCCATATTGGCAGAATGATAAGACGATATAAACCTTTTTATATAAACCTCTTTATACTCGCTCTGCACAATGTAAATTTTATAGATTCTTCATGTAAAGTTAAGGCTATTATGCTGTCTGTTTTTTTTTTTTTTTTTCGTTTTAACTCTTTGATTCTCTCATTATTTTAGATCACTCACCAAAGCTCCATGACAATCTAGGATTGCTACCGAGAACTGTGCAGGGGATCATCATTTTCTCACCCTCTACAACACCAGCATTTGAAGGCACTCGTACGACCACGCGAGCTGAACCAAAAAAAAAAGGAATGTGATATTATTGAAATGTTTTCTTTTTTTTCTAAATACCTTTTTTGTTAATTATCTATTTGTTTACTTACCAATCACGTGAATATCTTTGGACACGCCCTTGAACTCACAACTGTAGTCACCATCGTCGTGAGCTTCCGCTCTGTCAATTATGAACTTTCTTTCGGCATGGATAAGTTTAAATCGACCTCTCAGTGAGGGGACATCCGTCACATTGACTCCGCCCTTTTTCCTATTTATACATTAAAAATGGAGAACATAGTAATTAGTTAATTTTAAAAGAAGTATAGAATAACCAAATTTATAAATGGTTACATTACAAATACCGATACTTTTGTATAAAAATAAACTTAGTTATATCTATCTCAAAAGGACTTTACGATATATATGTTATATATATATTTGATATATGTTATCAAATCCATGAATAATTTCTTATATATCTATACAATGTAATTATATCTTCCACATTTATCGAAATTGTTTTCATTTTTTCTTCTAATTTACTGTCTAGTTTTATAAACAACTGACATATTTATAGTATTGGGAGGTCATAGCAAATGAGACCGACAGCCGGAACTATCGATAACTGTAAAACTGTTGATATTTTATTTTTTCTTTTGTTAATAGTGTCAACAACATGTTGAGCTTCCTACTACTCTTGTTGATACTTTATGTTGATTGTCTCTTGATATTGATATTATTTTATATTTTCGGTAGGTTGCGTTATCGCTTGTGGACTATTATTTCAGTTGTGCTCTGATAATTACTTTTTTTTTTTTATTTTGTTACATATTATAAACTTCTGTTTTCTACTCTCATTTCTAACCGATAATTATGTCTTCCATATTTAATCGAAAAACTAAAGTTTTCTGATTCGGTTCTACACCGCTTGTTTTGTTAGCCAAAAATTCCATAGACCTATATTTATATCCAGTTCAAGAACTTTTGGTGCCAATTATTCAGGACTAATTCAAAGTGAGGCACGCAAAGCTAAGTTTTCTGTCCCTGGCAACCGACAAAAAGTGTCTTTACCATTACGAGGCCTCTTTCACACCCACACACAAATAGCACACACACACACACATATATATTTTTTCATGCTCTCACGCATACATATATATAAACTAGAGTCGGATAAGCCCACTCCCTGTAATCGGGCACTTTTTAGCACATACACACACCCCATCTCAACCCCCCACCCTTCCGGCGCCTATGCTATGCTCTCCAGGTTACGTCAGTCAAGTGCTTGGTTAAGGGGGGCAACATAATTAAGCAAAAGTGCTTAGCTGTGCCGTATTAAAATGATTGCTCTTATAACTGCCAACTAGTATGCAGAGCCATAGGCCATAGGCCAGAGCTAGGGGAGATACCAAACTGACGGACTGCCCGCTCGACTGCGTTCTATCTGTCTTTCTATTGGCTAAGCTCGACGAACACTCTCAGCAATTTTGTAACGTGTTTCGATCAACTTATTACAAATTAATTTTTTCTAATTATATTCGTTTTGATTTTAATTTTTTTTTTTTTTTTTGTATATTACATTACATTGAATTTTCTGGAATTATCATAGGTTTATTTTGTTTTTATTTTGTTTAATTTTTACTGAAACTAAACTAAACTATCCATACTAATACATTTTTTACTAAACAATTCAACGCAAAATTCCTTTTGGTGTATATATATATTTCTAACTTACCATATGAGTGGGTCATCGGACTCCACATTTTTCACATTGCAGCTGAGCACAAGCGGCGTTCGAATATCGTAAAATTTGAGTTGACGCTCCACATGGTCATAATTTGGCACCAAGGAATCTGGCCCTGAAGTGAACATGATTATATATCCACACAGAAAGAGAGACAGAGAGAGAGAAAGAGAAAAACATAAAAATTTTGCAAATATTTATTAGATAAAATATATATATACAAATACAAATCGTATATCCCAAAAAAGTAGAGTAGGAAAAAACGTTTACATCAAAAAATGTTTATCTAAATAATTATGCATATACGAAAAAGAAAAAAATATATATATCGATAGATAGATGGTTTCGTTTATGGTAGGTATAAATATATTAACGAGTTTTTGTTTTATTGTAGAGGCGAGAGCTTAATATATGAGGGGTGTTCAAAGGGGGGTTTACGCAGGGTTTTTTTCTATATTTTATTACGATTTTGATTAGGATCTGAGAGCTAAAAATGAGCTGAGATGTTTGTGGTATATAGATATACATATATATTGGTTTGATTGTATTGAAACTCTAACAAGTATTTATTAATATAAAAAATAAATACAAATAAAACAGAAATTGCAACTTAAATCAAAAATACCAATAATAATTTCACACACATACGATATTTGCACTAAATAAAAAATAAAAAAATATACGTATATCTAATATATTTGCAAACACAATTTGAACTAAAATAAATTCAATATTTTTGTAGCTCCCATATGGAAAACCCCCAAGTCAAAGAAAAACAAATCTAAAACTAACTAAAAAATCAAAAATATTTTTATTAATTTTCGAATTTTATTTCACCTAAACATACATATGTAAAGTTAAATATTTATTTAAATGATATATATATATTTATATATATATATAAATATGTATATATATATATTTTTTTTAGTATAGATATTTTTTAACTTGGACTGAAATCAAATAAATTTTATTTGCATGATATATATTTAAATATATATATGTAATATGCAATAATTATATAATTCGTTTAATTCCATAATTTAACTTTTATTTTTAAAAGTAGCTGCAAATGGAGCAATAATCGTTTTGTGATATTTAAATACTAAATGTTATTTATAGTTATCGAGTTATGCGGTAAGCAAAGTCAAGCTAAAACTAAAGCAACATCTAAATTGTCGATAACTGATAATCGATAAACATTAGCCCACATACAGACACGACACAGACACAATACATGTACATGTATATAGCCTTGTCCTTATCGCCATACGAAAAACAAAAGCAAAAGCGAAAGCAAACCAAAAACAAGAAAACAAAGTATACGTAAAAGAAAGAATAATGAAACAAAGGCAATAAACATTAAGCCGCGATTACAAACACAGTCATTGGGGGCAAAGCAACAACGCTTATCAAGCGACTGAGCGCCAATTCTGAATTACACATGGATTTAATATGCGTCAAACAAAATGGCTGCCAATCAATCAAATTGAAGAGCCGGAGATAGAGAGAAAGAGAGGAGAGACCGACTGAGAGTAAGAGAGACAAAGAGGGAGAAAAGGGGTCAGTAAGGCGCTGTGCACCTGCCAGTCGTGTGATTCAAAAGCAAAGGTAAACAACTAAAATAAATCGAGTAAAATATATTAATATGTATATATAAATACAACAACAATGACAACAACAATAGCGACACACACATACAAATCAAAACAAAAAGTTGCAGTAAGAGTAAGAGGAAATATATCAAGCAACAAAAAGGAATAAAAAAAGCTCCACTTAAAGTTTTGCCTGTGTTTTATGTACGTATGTGAGTTTGTTTATGTGTGTGTGAAGGCGAACGAGCTTAAATATCGACGAATAGTCAAAGCCTAAGAGCACTAGCGAACGATTAACGATTAACAACACCAAAAATTGACTAAACGATGAGGGAGTTTGAGCTATGTAGACGTGCGCTGATAACGATTGTAGGAGAGCGGGAGAGCAAGAGAGAGCGTGGAGAGCGTATGGCGAGCGAGAGTACGAGCAATAGAGCGAGGCTTAGACGATAAAAAAAAATTAAGGAATTGGAACTGGACGAAAGTGAGTTTTGACGATGAGCAAGATGAGTGAAATGCAGTTACTGTTGTAGATAGACGCAAATGAGACTGAGTGAAGTTCGTAGTATTTTTGTTTTGTTTGTATATCAGAGTTGTTGCACTTGTGAGTTCAATTCACTTAATGAATACAGGGGTTCTGCTACTACTTCACGATTGCAAAATATTTTGTTGAGCTTCAAATTGATTTTAATTTAAATAATTAAGTGGAGCACTTTGTATTTATACACATAAAAAATTAATTGTTGAGCACTTAAGGTAATCGGTATGAAATTCATTTTGCGCTTGATTAATAAACTAAATAATTTGACACTGCAAATCAAATCAACAATTATATTAACGCTTTGTCACGCAATTATTCTTAAGCGCAATAAAGTGTAATTCAAGTTTCCAGCTTAGGATTGAACTAATTGCGGCACAACTCGAATATGCATGTATGTATGTGTGCATTGACGTGTAATTGACCGAAGCTTATATGTATGGAAATTTTGAGTGAGTTTTACTTTGTATCTATGTATGTATGTGTGAGTTTGAGTCAGATGTCATTTCATGTGGTTTCAATTATGTTTGTATGTGTATTTTTTTCGGTGAGCTGTGGATGTGTGAGTGTGAATGCGTGTGAGTTTATGTGTGTATGTGGCTCACCCTTTTTAATAGGCAAGAACGTCTTTGGCTGCTGCATTAAACCGATGTTGTTGCTGTAGCTGGTTGTTAGCGCTGTCTGCGCTGTGGGCGCTGTTGCAACGGTAACACCAACACCGCCGCCGCCCACTGCAGGCGGCACAAATTGCGGTGAATATGTTTGATATTTCTCATTGTGATGCTGCGTAGGTTGCATTGGCTGCGGCGGCAGCGGCAGTTGAAAATTGTTTAGTTGCTGTTGTTGCTGATGATGCTGCGCTCGATGATGCGCTGTGGCAGTGTCGATAGGCGTTCGATAAATCGGCATCGTTTGATTGTACAGCTGTATGGTGGGTGGTTCGGGTGGCGCCACCGTATGCTCCAGCAGACTCAGGCGGGGTGGTGGAAAATCTGGCGGCGTGGCTGAATAAATGCGATGAATGCCATTAACACCCGCCTGGCCGCCGTCACCTGTTGTTGTGGCATGCCACGTGCTCAATTCGTTGTATCTACGCGTTGTCGCCGGCTGCTGCGGCTCATAGCCATAGCCAAAGCCAAAGCCATGACTTGTGGCATTGCCTTGTTGCTGATTGTGCTGCTTGGCGGAGAATAGGGACGGCGACTCCGAGCCCCGTTGCGGCTGCTGTTGCTCCTGCCACGTGCGCGTAAATATCTCATCGGCCGAGCTAGGCGTCAGCTCATCGATAGTTCGATAACCGCTCTCCGTCGGCGTCTCTGATTGCTGCTGCTTGTTGTGCACGTGCAGCATGTGAAAGCCACTGTCGCGACGATGATTTTTGTTGTTGTTGCACTGATAGCGACCCTCGTGCACCTTCAGGGCGTGCCGCACCTTCAGATGTGCCTCGATCTTGTGCTTCTCGCCTGTAGTTGGTTGATTGATTGTTGCTCGTTCTTCATCAATCGTCAATCGTCAATCATCAATAAATACTTACCTTCGATGGCGCTCTCCGACAGTGTATAGGAGTGCTCGTCGTGGCCGTGCCGCAAATTATGGCGCGTTATCGACTCCCCATTCTTTAGCCAGTGTATCCGCTCAGTTATCGGTATGACGCACGTTATCGAAAACGGCTCACCGATATTGACAATCGCGTCGCCATAGTAGACGATCGGCGTGGTTGCCAATGCAAACTCCGATGATTCATCGCTATCGTTCTCAATGATGCTCGCTGCATTACGATTAATTTAATCCACAAATATGCATATACATATATAATATATATATATACATGTATATAAAGAACACACACAGCAAGATGGTTACAACAAATCGATATATCGATAGCAAAAAGAGCAGGTTGAAGGGGGCAATGGGAAAGGAGAAACATCATTGGAAATCAAGAAAACATTAACAATTAACAACAACATAAAATATAATTTAAACGTTTTTTTTTTATTTAATTAGTCTGTTTACACTCCATAAAATATATGGCTACTATAGCAGATGTGTGTACGATCCGATCCATTTCGAGTCGATCGATTGTCTGTGTATTATTTTATCGGTTAGATTTGTTTGCTTTTTTCGTTTTCTTCTTTTTGTGTTTCCAGTTTTCAGATTATTTGATTTCAGCACCAAGTTGCAAAAATATGTATGTATATATATCAATTTATTTATACTAAATGTGTCGTAAATCTTACTTACATATACACATAAAAGATATATACAAAATAAATGAACAAAAAAACGATTATCGAACTGAATAACCAAAAAGTCAAATTAAAGCTAATTCAAATTATAAATGTGGTGTGTGAGTGCTATAATTAAGACCACAAGGTGTTAATGGTTCTCGTTTCTCTTTTATATATACATATATATAAAAATGTACAGCTTGATATGTAAACAATTTAAAGTTATCGATAAGCATTAAAGCTAATCGATAATGTTTCGGGTAAAACTCTAGAGGTGGGTTTAATTATGAATTGATTTGGGATAGTTAAATAGAATTGCTTAACTTGTATTTTTCTCTATTACAAGTTTTATTTATTATAGTAAATAAAAAGTATAATAAAACACTATTATAGAGAAATTATTATATTATGTGAGAGTTCAGTTATAACATGGATCCATAATTATCGAGGCAATATTGTAACAATATATTCATACTTAGTTATACTCTCATGTGTCTCCGCATAAGACTTTGATTTTGATATTTTAACATTACACAACACTAAACGGAGACAATTAACAAAGCGCCGGTTGCTGACGCAATTCGTTCAGATTTACCATCGTAGAGAGATTGGAAGCAATCTCGACATTTACCCAGGTGCCCATATATGAATGCAGATACATATACTTTTTTAATTGTGTGTGTGTGTGTGTGACATGGGGTGATGGCGTCAACAGTGACGTCAGTAATGTCCAGTTTAAACTGCATATTCTTAAGCCATGGCCATGTCCACGACATACATATATACAGTTGGTCGAATGACCATGTGCCGTTTTATTTTTCGAGAGAATGTTATCTGCGCTTATCAATGGAAGGTAAGTAACAAGTACTTTTGATAACTAGAAATAAGCAAAAGGCTAACATGGCAATAAATATATAGGCTCTTAACAAAGAATGTACAATATATATTTGTTGATTGCTGTTTGCACATAGATAAAGCCGCAATCTTATCAGCTGTTTTAACAAGTCAACGGACATAGTCTTTATTTGTTTCACACAGGGTGATTAGGCACATTCACACACATACAAACACACGTTTATGTACTTAAGTATGCACGCGTAGTATTTGCCTTCCCTTTTCAGCTGCCACTTTTACAGCAAATTAAGCGCAAAAAGATTGCAGACAACGCAATTTCATTTACAAGCAACAAGATGTCGCCCCATCTCTCTTCCACAGCTTGCAAGCATTTTCGTCTGTTGCTGTCACTTTGGACAGCATAAGCACAAAAACACACACACACGCACAAGCATTACATTTACATACAGAGAGCATATTGCAGCATAGGACAGAATGGAAGGCGGTGACCCAGTCGAAAAGCATTATAAATTTATACAACATCAACACACACACATACACACGTGAGTATAACACACCTTAACATTCTTTTACTCTCACCACACACTCTCACGCTCGCGCTCTCTCTTTGTTTCGTTACACACAATGCTTAACCGCTACGGCTGCTGTTGTTGTTGTTGGTGACAAGAAATTTATGGTTTATTGCTTGTTCATGTAGCATAGTTTTTGTCGCATTCCTTGTGCCAAATAGAAGAAAGAGCATGCAAAAGCGAGCGCCAACTAAAACTTTATTTAATCAAATTTATGGTTGCCGGCACACACACAGCCATACTCTCATACTTGCACCCTACATCACCCTCTCGATCCAACATCCAACGCACCATATGAATTCCGCACTAGTGACATATTGTTATTGGTATTCGTTCGCATAGTGTGTGTATGAGTGTATATATAGATGGATGCGTACGTATGTGTGTTGCTAACGCTCATTACATTTTAATTTTTCGCTTAGGTTTTATTATTTTTTAATGATCGCATTAAGCTACAGTGCTACAAATAGTCTCATGTTTTTGTTTCACTAGAAAATGTTATAGCCGAAGGCAATTAAAATATTTACAGAGAGAATTTGCAAAAACTAATATTCTTAAAAATAAAAAAAAATTTAAAACAAAAACGAACACAAAGTGCGCTTATACAGAGAATTTTCTTCAAGCAGAAGATGAAACAAAAAACATACATATAACAAAATTAATTAACACGAAACAAAATTGATTGCGCCTATATTATGTACTTATGCGTGTGTGTGTGCGATTGTCTGTGGGCAACTGTGCGTGTGTGTGTGCAGTTATTTTTGGCAGTCGTCGTGCACGTGAAAGCACACACAGTTTGAGAGTCATGCCGTAAATGACTTTTGAGGACACTAATGAGCGCCATTTTGCGCGGGTTTAAGGTTGGCCAAAATAAAACAAAAATAAATGTGAAATTAAAAAAATTAAAAAATCGGGTATATGCATGTTTATATATAATTGAAATAATTGCTAATTAAATTGCATCACTAAATGGTATGGATGTAAAAACATCAAACTGGTTGTTGAATACCCTGTGCAACAGTCGACAAAACTGCTAATTATACAGCAACAAAACAGACTATGAAAGCGACTTTCACACACAGTACCGCACACACACGCCTAAATACATATGTATATATACATATATATATATTGACCAATCGAACGAGTTGATCGGTCACTGAACGCACAACGTGAAATTCATTAAGTAAATTGCACGAAACATGCCAATTGAATCCAAAAACAATTCGCAACAATTGACAAAGGGGCACAAAATAAAGCAATTCCCATCAAACAACAACAACTGCAATAGTTGCAAAACATATACGAATTATAAAGCAAATGCAAATAAACAGGGAGAGCGAGATAGAAACAGACAGAGAGTGAGGAGTGAACGGGGGTTGCGATTTGCTGTAGTGGTACAAAGAAAGACAACACTCTGTTAATGCACTGTGCACTTGACACGACGCTGTAAATGGCCGCCCGGCAAAAAGGAACATCATAAAATTTTGCTAACTAACCATTATGATAATCATGCTTATCACAAACAGACAGACCGACAGGCGGACAGAGAGATTTATAAATAGGAGGCACATATATAAATATTTAAATACGCAACCGAGTTACTCGCTAAAACAAACAAAATTGTTTGAAAACGGTTTGAGGAATAAAAGCACTGGCATATACGCTGACTGCGACTGCTACTGCGACGGCGACGGCAACGGCAACGGCAACGTCGACAGCTACGTCGAATCATGTGTCTGGGCAGTGAGCGCGCGCGATTATATGTATGCGTTCACATGTATGCGTGTGTTTGTATGACTGTGTGCGACTGGCTGCTGTAAATTGAAATAAAAAATTGTTTGTCTATTTTAAAATTAGCAAAAGCAACCAAAATGAATATGACTATTCGTCTGAGCGTCTGCTCTTCACACACTGCTCCATCTCTCACCTCTCTCGCTCACTAACGGCGGTCTCATGTCCATGTGTGTGAGCACAAAAGTTTTGCAGTTTTTGGCCACAGCAACAACAAATAGTGCTGCCAATTTAGCTAGTTTTCTCTCAAATTTGGCTTGAAAATTAAGTTCTCACAAAGTTTTGAAGAGCAAAAGTTTTTGTTATAAAAATTATTTACTTTTCTAAAGTTAAAATATAAAAATATTTTAAAGGTTGCATTTCGATTATTGTTCCTAATTGAAATATTTGTTAACTTTTCACATGGTTTTTTAAAAATCGTAAACATTTAATGAAGGCTGAATTTAGGTTTTACCCTTAACTATTTTAGCATTGCAAACGCTGACAGCAACTAGAACTGCCTTTTAACTGTAAATGTATTAAAGAAGAAATTGATAAAAATTTAATTGATTAATATTTAGCTGGTTTCTTTTTGTTTTTTGTTAATTTTAGCTCTTTCTGGCAATACACATTAAAGATTTAAGCAAACAAACATTAACAAAACACTTGTTTAACGTTTTCAAGTATGTTGAAAGCAACAGAGAAAAAATACATAGTATAAAATCTTGAATGCTCTTGTTGTTGCCGTGAATTTCTGCGTCAGTGTATGGCGGCTGGTGTGTACATAAATATTCTATTTGCCTTGTAGTTGTCTAATTAAACGAAATAAACATTAGCTAAATTTAATTTCCAGCTCACCAAGCGATTTAACTTGAACCAATTGGATTACCGCACAGCATCACAATGGAGAAGCCATTGGTAAGAAACTGCTGATCGCAGCCGAACAGTTTTTAAACAGTCCAAAAGAAAGGCAAACGTCTTTCTAGATGGGTTTGCGGTCGAGCTGAGATAATGTCTGCCTGGCATATTGCTGATCCAATATATAATGCAGAAAAAACATGTCAGACAGTTCTGAATATTTCATGCGGCCTTCTTTGCCCGTGCCAGGCATTTGTGTCAATTATTATTGGCTCGGTACAATTGAAACCAACGCAAATTGATTCGAAGAAAACTAAATGGACACACAAACACACAGATACATCTACAAATTTATTACACCCTCTCTTAGCTACATGCGCCATTTTTTTTTTCAATCGTGTTTATTGAACAGCTTGTAAACACACACACACATATACATATATATATATAAATCATTTACAGTAAGTTGTGAACTTTGGAGCCAA